ACGAAAGCATTTTTAAAGGCCTTCGAACTAGCCAACTCTCAAGCCGTCATTTCAGTAAGCTGTTATCTGCGGTGGGAGATTAGGCCCGCTGCCGGCCATGCTAGACACCAATAGCGACGCGATCAGGGTGAGCAGCGGCTACTTAATTTTCTCTGACATATCTTTTATCATTGTCATTTTTCACAGAAAATATCTATTTCAATCGGTGCCATTGCATGAGCACGAAAGAAGCCCGGACAAAAATGGCCACCTTTTCCAAGCTAGGACGTGCTCGGTAGGGGCAACTATGTAATTTAGTTCCGTCTAATCCGGCTCTTAGGACTGATAATGCATCACGCAAACGTCACATTATGTCGTTATTGTCTCGCTTTTACTGCTACTACGACTACAATTACTACAGCTTTGAGAAATGCGAATACTACGATTACAATTTTTTTTTCTACTTTTTCCTTTGTTTTGAGTTTTACTCCAATGCTTCGTGATTTGAGCCATGTTCTTGTTCATTAAAGCAGGAACATCTTCATCGGAGTTTTTGGGGACAAAATCATAAAAATAACTTTCGATTCGGAATCCCTTTGCACTGAACCCGTTTAGAAATATCTAAACTGTCAGCTCTATACAACCACTTTTCGGATTTTTTTTTATGTTGACGGATAGGAAGAGGAGGTAACTCGGACAGTTAAGCAACTCAGAAGCGTTGTACCCGAAACTCTATGTGAAAGGGAAAAAAAAAACAAGATAGAACTCTTGCTTGTTGTAGCAACACTACACATCTTTCCCGGGTATGGTTTGAGATTGCAACGAACTGCCTCGTTGCTTGCAGGCAATGTCTTTCCTTGTAACAGTAACAGTAGGTAACAGTTCGAATTCCAATCGAATTTATTACATTCACTTCCTTGCTAATACCCTTGGGAAAGGTATGAATCCTCTTCTTCTCCCTCCAGCTATGGGTAAATAGCAGGACAGACCGGGTTCTATAGACTTGAATGGCAACTGGTCTACCACAGAAAGAAATGGGAAACTCTTGCGGGAAAAAAATTTGCCTAATCAGTCATTATCTGTCTATATTTCTGAGATGAGGTTTAATGTACACTATTTACATTATTCGGACTATTGTCCTCATCTTTGTTGCCATATTTATCACCCTTCAGTATCTGTCTATAGATGAGGTTTAATGTACACTATTTACATTATTCCGACTATTGTCCTCATCTTTGTTGCCATATTTATCACCCTTCAGTATCTGTCTATATTTGAGATGAGGTATTATGTACACTATTTACATTATTCGGACTATTGTCCTCATCTTTGTTGCCATATTTGTCTATATTTCTGAGATAAGGTATTATGTACACTATTTACATTATTCGGACTATTGTCCTCATCTTTGTCCCATTTTATCACCTTCAGTCTGTCTATATTTCTGAGATGAGGTATTATGTACACTATTTACATTATTCGGACTATTGTCCTCATCTTTGTTGCCATATTTATCACCCTTCAGTATCTGTCTATATTTCTGAGATGAGGTATTATGTACACTATTTACATTATTCGGACTATTGTCCTCATCTTTGTCGCCCTTCATATTTCTATCAGAAAGGGTATTATGTTTTGTCCTCGTCGCCATATTTATCACAACGTTTCGGCCGTTGTACGTTCCGGCCTTCTTCAGATGGTTAGAATGTCGAACTGAACCCTTTATTTCGCTCACTGGCGTAGATTTTTCTAGTTCCACGTGCCATGTTTAATGGATATCAGTCATCAGTTATCTCATGTTTATTCCCCTCTCCAAGTTCTCCACCGCCTTAAACAGGTATTGAACTCACACTCTTTGGGTCCTGTCTCTTGATCTAACTAACGCTTTTATCCACTGTGCCATGTGTCCTTGAGGAAATAAAGGGTTCAGTTCGACATTCCAACCACCCGAAGAAGGCCGGAGCGTACAACGGCCGAAACATTGTAATAAATATGACAACAAAGGTGAGGACAATAGTCCGAATAATTTAATCAGTCATGTATCGAAAGATATATAATATATATATAATCGCCCATTAATACTAGAAAGAGCCATAACAGCTACTGGACTTGAGAAACCTGTCTCCCCGAATTTTTTTTTTTAACAGAACGATTTTATAAATTTCAGCCAAAAGTAATACTGACTATCCTTCTTGGAAGCTTGTGGAATGACGCTATATAATCACAAATAAAGAATTGTACCAAATGACAGAAACTATATAGTGTAATGAAACACCGTGGTATAATGGTTAGCAAGTTGTCTTGCTAGATCAGTTACGACTGAGTAGCGAGTTCGATCCTCACCCGATAGTTCACACTTTCGGACTTGTGCCACATCTAAGGTACGCTTGGAAATTCATTTGGGCATCTTGAGGCGGTGCAATGTTTAGCAAGCTTGTCTCGCTAGAACACTTACAACTGAGTACTGAGTTTTATCCTCACTTGGTGCCCCTTACTTTCGGCCTTGTGCCACATCTAAGCTATGCTTAGAAAATCACCAAGGGATACAAACTTTATGACGACCAACAGTACAACAATTAAAAATAATTGCCCATTTAAGTTGAGGAGAAAATAATGACATAATCAAGATGTTGACATTCCACACTACTTCAAACAAAAGGTTAGGAAGGAAATTCCCATCAATACTAGAACGAGTGACAACAATTAATGGATGTGATTAACCTATTTTCCTGAAAAATATCTTTAAGAAAAAGATTTTATAAATTTCAATCGACACTGACTGATCGGTCAATTAATGCCAAATGTTTCCTTATAAGGAAACGGCTAATATTACCATTGCCATTAAATGTTCTCATTTGTAGACTATTCTCAATCAACATGTCTATAGTTTTCGTTTAGTTCTTGGCCTAGTGAATAAAAGCGTCCGTTTATGAATTTGGTGATATAGTGATTATAAGTTCAATCCTTGTGTCGGACAGTCTTTATTTGCTCTCAGTAAAAGCGTAAGAGCAATAACTACATAAAAATAAGATCCAGACGATAAGAATAACTAGACATTAGAAATAGAAAGAGAACAATCTACCCACGTCGATTGAATAAAGGGTTCAGTCTAGAATTCCCTGTACGTTACTCAGATCGATATACACCTGAGGAAGGCCGGAATGCACAACGGTCGAAACGTTGTGATAATAACCACAAAGATGAGGACAATAAAATATATAAATGAATATAGTGTAAATATTGATAATTCTTTGTCCCAGAAATTCCGAGAGGAACATTTCAGTGAATGTCTACCACAAGGATAGGCTAGACATCTTATTATTTCCGCTTATTTATTTACCAATGTCATTGTTTGGCAAAAGATTTTCTCTCGATTTTATTTGCCCAGAAAATTTTACCTCATAGCATACTATAACTCTAAACCCAAACACTAAACTTAACTGTTGCTTTTAGTCCAAAGCCTCGCCTTCCTGCTCGGTGCACACTGCTAACGGAGCGGCTATGTTTATACTGTAACAGCAGAAAAAAAAACTGGCACGATCAAGTTCAAACTTCGATCAGTGACCGTAATAGTACCAATTATAAACACGCACGAGTAGAAGACAGTGTGATATACTTAAAGATAAGGACGATATATATATATATATATATATATATATATATATATATATATATATATATATATATTCAACGCTTTGTACTTTGCACAAATGTTAAGTTTAATGTTTGTCATTAGAGTTAGGGCTTAATTTTTTATTTACCCTCGAATCAGAAAAATCGCAAACGATGTTTTACCAGTCATATTAAAAGCGGCAAGCACATACTAACTCTTTGAAATCTGCGTAAATTAATTCAGATTCTCTGTCGATGGAAAAGTATATAATGTTATCAACATAGCAAATATGATTGTGCATGTTCGATTTTTATGCCAAAGGCTTGTAATTATATTCAGACGTGCTGTACAATTGACAAAGACTTTTAGGGATGAATTAAACAACGTGAAGACTGAGATGACATTTTTAAATAAATACGCGAGTCGGCAATATGCACAAGTAAATTATACGTGTTTATGGCTTCATTTTATGACTCGACACGGGCAACCGAAATAACGTTTCTTATATTCTTAACGTAGGCGCCATTAAAAGATATACACGATTTCGCTGACAGTTAACTTTGCACGTGATAATCAGTGTATACTTTTGATGATCTTACTTACCAGTGTATAGATATATTTTGAAATACTCACTTGTCTGTATTTGCGGGGGTGGATAGGCGTCAACATTTCCTGCGAAAAAAAAAATGAAATTCTGCGAATGTTTCTTCCCTCATGCAAATACCCACAGATGATTATTGCATATATCTAAGCATATATGCAATCATTGCAACGATATTTAAATATATTTAGAATTGTTAGATTTAATTTTTGTACAGTTGTTCACAAGATCCGAGAGGAACTCAAGGTGAATGAGAATGCTTAAGGTGCGTAGAGGGAGGGAGGAAGTGGGTTCTTGTATGAGGAGAGATAACAGTTTTATTTAGTTTTTGTTCAGCTTTTTATTCAGTTTTTTATTCTGTTTTTCATTCAGCTTTTTATTCGTTTTTTTATATTTTTTATTCAGATTTATATTCAGCTTTAATTTTATTCCTTTTTTCAGTTTTTAATTCATTTTGTTTAATCATTTTATTTTTTTATTCTTTTTTTTTTTTTTCAGTTTTTATTCAGTTTTTCTAATATTACAGTTTTTCATTTGGCAGTGAGTGACCGGCTAAGGTAATGTAAAAATTACCGCAATGATTAATATTCATGGATAGCAGATGTTTATATATATATATATATATATATATATATATATATAAATTCCGAAGAGGATAAAATCCAGGTAGAACTCAATGTCCAGGACAGAGTAAGAATATAATATAAAAGACTCAAACACTAATATTCCATCATTATAATTTATTACATTGGCATTGTAATCACGATCCAATTGATCATACATATAAATTCAAAAGGCTTATGTATG